CGAATTAATGCAAAAGTAGTGGACACAATTAGGGATAATGTTGGTGTCCGTTGGTGCTGTGTCCATTGTCGAAAACTTTCAGCTGACTTTTATAACTTTGTAAAAGACTTGCAGTCGGAGCTTGGTTCGATGAAAAAGGAATTTACATCGTTATCAAAACGATTTGAGAATTTTTCGAATTTGTTCGACAAGTACCAAGAGCTTGATGAATTTGTATCATCACCGTCTGTGTCTGGGCAGAAACGTAAAAGGTCTGCGAAAAAGGCTCCCAATAAAGTCGTGCCTAGTCGCAAACCCACAGTTTCTGTTGGGAATACAGTGCCACAATCGCCTTCCGTCAATATCACAGATACAACGGAAACTGATTGTGTCCAGACATATGCTAGTGTTGCGTCACATTCGGCCTCGGAAATCGTTAAGGATGTAAATGAAGTGATAAATCCAAAATCTGTGAGTATAAGTAGTGCTAGTCTGGAAAAGACTTCAAAACCTACTCACGGAAATCGGGAATCATCAGTTCAATCATCTAATGCGTCTTCCGTAGCTGGCACTAGCAATTCCCTCAAACCTGGTCAAAGACCATTATCTATGGCTCCCACCAGGAAAATGGTATTTGTATCTAGGTTTGCACCAGATACCTCGGCTGAGGATATAAATTATTATATAAAATCAAAAATCGATGGAAATTTCTTTCTACGTTGTTATAAGCTCCGGTCTGCTTTCTCAGAAAGTAGATCATCTTTTAAAATCGTAGTAGAAGAAAGTATGTTTCATCGACTAATTTCGAGAGAATTTTGGCCTGCTAATGCATTTGTAAAGGAATTTCTGGAAAGATCTGAAAATTTAGCTCATTTGCCTCAGAGGGCTGAAATATTGCCAAAAAACTAAATATGTTTCTCAATGTTTGCTATCAGAATGTAAGAGGGTTAAACACAAAATTAACTCGATTATTCTCTGATAGCCTTGGGTTTAATTATGATGTTATAGTATTTTCTGAAACTTGGTTAAAACCATCCGTGTTAAATAGTGAAATTTTGTGTTCTAGATATCAAATATTTAGAAAAGATAGAGTTCTTAAAAAAGGTGGTGGCGTCCTTATTGCAGTTGATGCCAAATATTCCACTAATTTAATTGAATTAAACTGTTTTGATATCGAATTTATTTGCATATCCATTGAATTAGAAAATTTTAAATTATTTGTGACTTGCTCATACATTCCTCCCTCATCGCAACTTGATATTTATAATCAGCATTTGTTAGCAATAAATTCAATCACTAACAAAATGAATGACTCTGACAAAATATTAGTTCTCGGCGATTTTAATCTGCCGTCTGTAAAGTGGCTTTCATTGCCAGATTCTGAGGCTCTAACACCTTTGACATCTGATGCAAATGTAAACTTATATACCTTTGAAATTGTAAATCGTTTTAGCGACATAAATCTTTATCAAATAAATAGCGTATCAAATTGTTATGATCGAATTCTAGATCTAGCATTTGTGAATTATACACAATATTTTGAAATTATTAGAATACCTCCAGTATGTACTCCCGAAGATAACTACCATCCTACATTATGCATATCCATGATGCATAATAATTTAGCTACCAACAATTCTTTAATATCATTTAAATCTGTTCCTAATTATAATAAAACTGACTTCCGAAAGCTAAACGCACTTATCTCAAACGTAAATTGGAGCACATTATTTATTTGTAAGGGTCATATTGATCTAGAATTATCAGTATATAAATTTTATGATATCCTAAATAAATTTATTCTAGAATGTGTTCCCATTGTTAGAGTTAGAAACTCGGAACGATATCCATGGGTCACATCTGGGCTTTCAAGTATTAAAAATTATAAAAATAAACTTTTTAAAAAATATAAAAAATCAGGCTCCTCTATAGATTATGCTAAATATGCTGTCGCAAGGTCTAAATATACGTCAGAGTCCCGAAAACTTTACAATCTTTATTTAAACAAGATTAAACTTAATTTCAAATCCAATCCTAAATCTTTTTATGACTTCGTTAATATAAAAAGAAAAGCTACGTCAAAGCCCACCATCCTGAAATTCAATAATCAGACATTTGAGAAAAACTCTGAAATTTCAGAGTGCTTTGCAAATTTTTTCGCTACAACATATTCATATTCACCCTGTCCAAATAAAGATACATATAGTTATAAATTATCGACGATAGATCAAATATCTATGCCTTTTTTACAAAGTCAATATGTTTCTAAAAATCTACGTAATTTAAGATCAATTAAAAGTCCAGGTCCGGATGGCATTCCTAGCATAATTCTAAAGTACTGTTCAGATACATTAGCTATCCCTTTAACGCTATTGTTTAATTATTCCCTGAAATATAGTCATTTTCCGACCTTCTGGAAGAAATCCTATATAGTTCCTTTACACAAATCTGGTAGCTTAACTAATGTCTCGAATTATAGAGGAATTGCTAAATTAAGTGCAATTCCAAAATTATTCGAAAAACTGATTACTGATGTAATTTCTCATAAAGTTCAGCCAATCTTAAGCCCATATCAACATGGTTTTCGTAGTGGCCTCTCAACCATTACCAATCTTATTCAATTTTCCTCAACCGTCATAAAAGGTTTTATTCAGCGTAATCAAACCGACACGATTTACACTGACTTCAGTAAAGCTTTTGACAGGGTTAACCATGAACTTTTAATATATAAATTAAATCAAATTGGTTTCAGTATAAATTTAGTTAAATGGATATCATCTTATTTGAGAAATAGATCACAGGTAGTTTTGTTTGATGATTGTCTCTCCAAATCCATTAATGTTCCTTCCGGCGTTCCCCAAGGAAGTCATTTAGGTCCACTCCTCTTTCTTCTATTTATAAATGATTTACCAAATGCAATAATCCACTCCAAATTGCTAATGTATGCTGACGATGTCAAGTTGTTTATCACCCATAACTCCATGAAGCAAGCTGATTTACTTCAAAATGATTTAAATAACCTTTTTCAATGGTGCGAATTAAACTGTATGGATTTAAACCTAAACAAATGTAAGCATATGTGTTTTTCCAGATCTTCTACTTTAACAAGGCAATACAATATTAATGGTACTGTTTTATCAACTGTTGATTCATTTGTTGATCTTGGTATTTTAATGGATCCAAAATTAAATTTTAATAATCATGTTATTTCTATGGTAAACAAAGCCCACGGTGTCTTAGGATTTATAAAACGATGGGCAAAAGAATTCTCTGATCCCTACATTACAAAACAACTTTTTACATCTCTTGTGCGACCCATATTAGAATATGGTTCTGTTGTATGGGATCCCCAATATACAATTTATTCCGATAAAATTGAATCAGTGCAGAAACAATTTCTAATTTTTGCGCTGAGAGGTTTACATTGGAATAGTGACTTTGTGTTGCCTTCTTACACTAGCAGGTTAAAATTAATTCGATTGCCAACATTAAAAAGTAGACGTATTATGTTGAACACTATGATAGTAATTAAAATACTAAGCGGTAATATACCCTCAGACTTCCTAATTTCATCCATTAGAATAAATGTTCCTTTTCGATCAAGTAGATATTATCAACCATTATACGTAGATTTTCATCGCACAAATTATTCTATGGGAGATCCACTTAGTAAAATGTGTATTGATTTCAATTCTGTGTATTCTAACGTAGACTTTTGCATGAATATAGACCTAATAAAATCTAATATAATCATATTTTTAAATGAATAATACAACTTAATAACAAACTGGCTGTTGAAGTAGATTTCTGTAGCTGGTTTTCTATCCCTTCTCATATTCCATCATAATGCGGATTATGATGCGTACGCGATCCCTACGAAAGGGGAGGTCGCCCCCTCGGTCGGCAGGGGTGGGAAAGTGAGGCGTGGGAACGTACGATAAAAAAAAAAAAAAAAAAAATGATCACTTCCCTTACAAGGCAAAATTCAAATAACAAAAGTTTTTTATTCTATCTTCCACATAATTTTTAACGACAAATTTATCGTATTGTAACGACAGTCATAGCACCGATTTGTCTTATGCAAGACTGAAACAACTGGATGTGCCGATATTACTTTCGTAGGCTAACCAATTGTTATTATCTTTAATTCGATCCTTTAACCTTATAGCTAAGGAAACCTTGTTGACCTCTTATAAAATGATCTGGCCTTCAATAATACATATAGTAATGATACAGAAAGTAGACCTTTTCAGAACGCTACTTTCTGAACTATATCAGATTGGCTCTTCATAAGACCAGATAATCATCTAGGGAACTTAAAATACTACCTTAAGCCAGCATAATTTCTTTGTTTTCGTGAATGATTGGATTTTATGGAAAAATATAGCCATCGTAACCATCATATGGTGGATAAAACGTCACTGACCTATAAGGATCTGATCGGCAAATTAAATGTAAAAATAAAGATTCTCGGAGATCACATCGCAATTGAGAGCCATTAATTACCTACATGACCCAGTATGAAACAAATCCTAATTTTTCAAAAAATATATACAATTTTTTGTGATTACATTAAAAAGTGACCTGTAATAATTTTATAAAAAAAATCTATTATAGCAAATTTAAATAAGATATGTACTAAGAATTAAGCATTCAAAGTTGTCAGACATTCGACATTTGATTGTATATTTCAATTAAGTAACTGTTTTCTCAAACCCTCGTAAGATTATGTATTACAATACTAAAGGAATGTTTTATTATGCGATATTAGAAACAGAACCGTCGTCTTATACAAATAAATCAATGACATGATCCTTTGTATTTTTTTAGTTTTTATTTTATGTACAACAACATTTCTAAATGTTGTTGTGGCTGTGTTTCGTTGTTTATATGGATGTATGTATGTTGTTTGTCCTGGTTTTAAAATGTTCGAAAATATACACACCGACACAAATGGATGTGTGTGTGTGTTCATATTTTCAATTTAAATGCAATATGTTGTACGTTGTAGTATGACTTACCTTAGTTGGATAAATATGCTTGGAATCGCCAACTGACAGTTTGATATAATCCTCAGCATGCTTAACTCCCGTAGCATCCTTTAAACTTATGGCAATCATGTTGCTCGTTTCACGTGGCAGATTTATCTAAAATGTACACAACAACAGCAACAATAACAAATATAAATATGATTTACTGTAATTTCAGACAGAGAGGGAGAACGATAGAACAAGACAAAACAAATAGGATAGTACGACAACAACGTATATCTAACAAATAACTCCACAACAAAATCCTCTGAAGATATTAAATGAAAAACTACAACAAAACACACACCGTGCATGTGACGATTCCTACGGGAATAAATGTCCTGCTACCATCACTGGCAGTGTTCTAGTATAACGAACCATTTAATATGTTGTGGCTTTAAAACGAAGGACAGACGACTTGTGGAAACTGAACCGGATATGATATGCCCCCACTGCGTTCTCTCTCCACATTCTTTGGAAATTTTAATATTACCTTATGACTGACCAAACAAACAAACACACACGCACATTCACTCAGCCTCATTCGCCCATCCCCCTCCCCTCCTTCGCATATAGCACATAACTTGAGAAAAAGAAAACCATAGCCAAGTGGGATTATGTTGCGACGTAACGCATTGCATTTTTATTTCGTAACAGACCAAGGACTTTGATAGCCGTGGTGACACCATCGTCATTACCCATCGGCCGACCACTCGCCACTGCTGTATTCGCAAAACACCTATTTCCGTAAAATGTGTACTGTCATCATCATCATCAGTGGCAAAAAAATGAAAGAAAAGCAAACAGGAGTTTTACGCAAAAAGCATTTGCCACCAACCAACCAACTATCTATGTACATACATATATGGGCTATTCATTCGGAGCTGTTGTTATGCATCGTTGTTGTCAGAGAAACCCCCATTTGGTGGCAGATTTCCTGCTGCGCGATAGTGGCATGCCAAAACCAAGTCTATGTGGTTATTTTGCCATAGAACTCAAATAAAAACTATTATAGAAAAGACAACCATGACTGAGATTCTAAGACGCTTATTGTGGAAGTTTTTTCTTTGCTTTTGCTTTCGTTTTTTCTTCTTCTTTTTTCATTTCACTCTAATGTTGGTGTGGGAAAGTTTCCTGCACAAGTTTTGCTAGTTTTAAGACCAGGTTTACGTGCGGTCAGTATAGTTGAAAACTTGTGGCCAAAATGCGGTCACTGTATCAAAGATTTTACGCAAACGTATTTGCGCAATGCAATATGTACGAGTACAGTAATGACCCTAAGAAAATCCCTGTATTATAGTAGCTGAATAGATTTATAAATATATTGTCGTCAATATCGAAAGAAAAAAATAATCATTACGAGTATAGAATAGTACAGGATATACAAACAGAATGTTTATCCGCAGTTGAAATACAAAAACATTTGATTCATACTAAACAAATTTATTCGAATGCGAATGTTTTTCATTGTAAGCAAAATCATTCGTAGGCGGACAAAATGCTTCCTTAAACACCCATTTCAAAACCATTCGTTAAGAATCACAAATGTGCCACTACAGTCTATTTTGAATAAATTAGCACATTATTGCAAATTTGCTATATTTTATGATACTAATTTTCACGAATATTCTAAGCGTTTTCCTTAGATTTATATAAATGGGAACCATTTATATAAATTTCCAAATTTTCAAACTACATTTCTGCAGTTTATTTTACTGTTAAAGAAAAGGATCTAAGTCGGACAAGTGGCACGCATGTGATGTATACATACAATTCCAATATAATATGTGTAGAAATAGGTATATATTTTGTTGTAGATTTATTATTTAATTTATCTTAATTGCTTTGGTGAAATGGTGTTCATTAAATATAAAAAGGAATATTTGTATTATATTTACTATGAAAACTCATTATTGTTATATATATTTTTTTTAAACAAAATGGTGAATTTATTAAGTGTATCGAATATCAAATACAAATCAAAAACATTTTGCATGTTCACCGCTATTTTAAGTAACAGATATAATACTGTTTGACAAAGAGTATACCAAATTATGGAGAGTATTTATGCTGATATCTAACCAGCATTCCTTCACAGCATATTTAAGGTAATTTATAAAAGAAAAATTCATGTCGAGTAGTATACTTTTGTCACAGTAATCTCGTATAAGTTTTCAAAAGGGTGACAGTATGGAGTGCAAGCCGTCTGTGGTAAAATATTTATATCAAGTTTTTGTTTGCTTCGAGGCTCAATGGAAGCATTATCCTGGTGAAAAATTATATCTTTGCCCTCTTTTTAATCAAAATGTGTTATTAAAACAACGTCTAATAATTCATTATATAGCATTTCCAGATTAAATGAAACCTTTTACAAATTAAATGAAACCTTTTCCAAATTAAATGAAACCTTTTCCAAATTAAATGAAACCTTTTCCAATTGAAATGAAACCTTTTACAAATAGAATGAAACCTTTTCCAATTGAAATGAAACCTTTTACAAATAGAATGAAACATTTTCCAAATTAAATGAAACCTTTATTCTTATCTAAGGAAATATAATATTTGCACTAATTTTAAACCAATATTTGAAAATTAAATCAAAGAATATTAACAAATATAGTTGTATGGCTATGTAATTAACATAAATATTCTTTAATTCGGTGTGATTTCATTTAATATCTTTACTACATAAAACTAAATAAATAGTAATACAAACTGGGGTATTTCTTGACATTTTAATAAATAAATATTTAAGAACAAGAATTGAATACCCGGTCCTAAATGCGAAATACATATTTGACTTAAAAAATTGTTGATGATAAGCTGTGTGACGTTTCAATGGAACAACATTGTTGATGTAATCGAGCGAAATATTCAAAAGCTTACTCGGCAAGATTTTTCTAACTACGTTATGGACATGGTTTTGAAAATCCCACAAGCTACAAGTCGGGAACCCCTTCATTAAGATAAGCCGGTACCTTATCATCAACAATTTATTAAGTCAAATATGTATTTTGCATTTAGGACCGGGTATTCAATTCTTGTTCTTAAATATTTATTTATTTATTAAAATGTCAAGAGTTTGTCAGTTTGTATTACTATTTATTTAGTTTTATGTAGTAAAGATATTAAATGAAATCACACCGAATTAAAGAATATTTATGTTAATTACATAGCCATACAACTATATTTGTTAATATTCTTTGATTTAATTTTCAAATATTGGTTTAAAATTAGTGCAAATATTATATTTCCTTAGATAAGAATAAAGGTTTCATTTAATTTGGAAAAAGTTTCAATCTATTTGTAAAAGGTTTCATTTCAATTGGAAAAGGTTTCATTCTATTTGTAAAAGGTTTCATTTCAATTGGAAAAGGTTTCATTTAATTTAGAAAAGGTTTCATTTAATTTGGAAAAGGTTTCATTTAATTTGTAAAAGGTTTCATTTAATCTGGAAATGCTATACATTTCAGAATCCATTTTGGTAGACACATCACAAAGTGGAAGCTTACATTCGTACGAGTATGCACCCCATACCATTTGACTTCCCCCCAGAAATTCGGCTTCGATCTTACCACATCTTTATTTACATTTTTCGTTGCAACTATAATAGTTTGGTCCATACAAAAACAACAAAATATGACTTATTTTAAGTTATTTCAAAAAGTGTATGAAAAATGTTTTTGGTTTGAATTTGATATTCGACACCCTAAATATATTCACAATTTTGTTTAAAAAAATATATGACAATAATGTGTTTTCATAGCAAAATCTCAAAAACATCATATGCGCTCAAACGAATGTCCTCTACTGTATATGTGAAAAGATTCAGATTTTCGGTTTATTTAGTATTGTAAGAATAAAGCTGTACATTTAAAACATACCATTTCAATATTTTCCTAGTATTTGACATATGAAATGGTGTTGTTCTTCCACCCGATTAAGATTTCTTTCCGGGTTGAATTTAATACATAATATATAATTACGTATACAACATAGCATTTGAAATGTGATTTCAAAAGACATCTGAGTCACTCAAACCTTTTCAAATAATCGGTTTATTGTTCGTACTTTTCAAGCGACTAAATATTCCTATTAAGAATCCTTTTATCGAATGTAATGACTTTTTTAATAATGAAGATTTACATATTTTGCATATTCTGCATACTTTTGCATATTTTGCATATTTTTGCATATTTTGCATATGTTTGCATATACTGCATATTTTTCCATATTTTTTGCATATTTTGCATATTTTTGCATATTCTGCATATTTTGTATATTTTTGCATATTTTGCATATTTTTGCATATTCTGCATATTTTTTGCATATTCTGCATATTTTTGCATATTCTGCATATTTTTGCATATTTTGCATATTCTGCATATTTTTGCATATTTTTTGCATATTCTGCATATTTTGCATATTTTTGCATATTTTGCATATTTTTGCCTATATTTTGCATATTTTGCATGTTCTGCATATTTTTGCATATTCTGCATATTTTTGCATATTCTGCACATTTTTGCATATTTTGTATATTTTTGCATATTTTGCATATTCTGCATATTTTTGCATCGACCTAGCATACCGTGCATATTTTTTGCATATTTATTGCATATCGACCTAGCATACCGTGCATATTTTTTGCATAGTTTGCATATTTTTTGCATATTTTGCATATATTTTGCATATTTTTAACATGACTTCGCGTGGGTGCGGAGTAGTAACATCGAAGGCTCTATTATACTTTAGGAATTATAAGGTTCTATCCTACCTTAGGAATTATAACTAAGGTATGGTAGAGCCTTCGATGTTATTACTTCGCACCCACGCGAAATTTTTGAAGCACATATCTGACCCAGGTTACTTCAAGGGCATGCCTTGAAATACTTTGTAAATCCCTAAAATCTGTTCGATGTTTTTTTTTTCTGTTTTGTATACATAGACTACATAATACAAATAAATATTATATTATGTTATAATAATTACGTCACCTCAAATGAAAGAAAGCAAAGTTATAAATAAATACACTAGAGAAACTTATTTTGCAAAATGTATGTTGCAAAATAATTTTCCATTATTACTATAATTATAATAAGTTTCCATTATTACTATAATAAAAGAAATCCATTATTACTATAATTTTTTGTAAATGGTTTAAAACAGGTATGGTCGATTTTTACCTCCTATCCAGCCTATCTGTGCGAGGTCCATTTTAACATCAAAAATTCCTTCTAATATTTGTTTTACAGATGTTAGTCATTTGTCGTTTTATCGTAAACATTTTATTGCTTTATTCTACGATTTGGCGAAACGATTTTGTGAAACCTACTGTAGTATTCCTTCAGGTGAGAAACAAAAAAAAACTATGCTACAATATGATATCCCAAGAAGAAAAATTAACTACTATTTCTTTTCATTTTCTGCATTACGTAGCACCAACAGTATTGAACTCCAGAGTATAGCCCTGGCGACACATCTGTTACTATAAATTGGTATGCCGTTGAATGTGTGCTAGCAGGAGATTACAAGTTTAAATATGACATAACATAATCTTTCTTTTAAACTTTACGCATCTACCGCAACAAGACTAATTAGAAATATATCACAACTAAACCCAAAAACCCCTCTCACTTTTAATCTAGAAAAAGTTATACATTGCATAGAACTATGTCGTCGTCATCGTGGATAACTAACAAAACTTTTCATACATACATATGTACATCATTCTTTAGTTTACTTACCGCAACAGTTAAATTATTGCCAATTTGAACATCCACAATATCCTTGTGAGATAAATCATATTTCAAGCCGTTGACATCTTCGATATTGTGCGAGAATTCATTGCCTAAATTGTCATGCAATGAAACTTTCAACACGAAATTCATGCCACGTGGAATTTTCTCTTCGGTATTCTTTAGTTTGATTGTGGGATACACCAGCGCGGCCATAATGTATTGGACATTTTTAACCTCAATACCAATGGCTAAAGTTTGATCAAATGTTTTCGCCTTTTTACGGTTCATGCGAACGAAGGAGATAAAAAAGTTTGCAACAACAATAGAAGAAAAGAAAAACAACAACAGGTGAGTATGGTCAATGGTTGGATTTAGGTTTTGTTTTGGGTGTTTGCCCTTGGTACATATACATACAATGACTAAATCTCTGCCCAAAGTCTCTTGTGTCCGTACAATACCATCTGGCGTCACTTTAACAATGGCATTACTATCACTGGACAGTCTATAGAGGACATCGTCTAAGTTCGCTTTCAACTGAATGGAGCTACGTGGTGCTAGCAAAATTGTATCCGTGGTTATGTGTTTTGGAGATTCCAGTTCAAGTTGTTTGAAAACTAAATTGAAAAATAAAAAAATAAATGACAAGAAAACAAAAACCAATGTTACAACAAAAGCAACAATCCTTTGAATTTCACTTACCAACTACTTCGACAAAAGTAGAGATTTTCTGTCCGCCCGGTAATTGAACGGTTGCCTGGATTTTTGCTTTTCCAGGGTTTAATGCCTTAATACGAACCGAAATTAAATCAGTATCAGAGTATTCAATGCCTGTAAAAGAAAATAAATAACATGATTACATATCATAATAATATATTAGATATTTTTAATTTTTGTTATATAAAAACCTAATCTAATACGAATAAATATACCATTTATCGAATATAATAGATTAATGTAGAAAATAATGGAAAGGTCTTATGTATTTAACAATTCTATGTCGATTTTCAAATTTCGAAATTTTCAGCTGTAGTTTTGCATAACCGCTTCCCACAGAGCAGATCAAATTATTCTACAATATAAAGTAATTGTGAACCATTATTATAAAAATACAATTTTATTAGATTTTATAAGTTCTATATTCATGCAAAAATCTACGTTATAATGCACAGAATTAAAATCAATACACATTTTACTAACTGGATCTCCCATAGAATAATTTGTGCGAGGAAAATCTTCGTATAATAGTTGATAATATGTTCTGTATCGAAAAGGAACATTTATTCTAATGGATGAAATTAGGAAGTCTGAGGGTATATTACCGTTTAATATTTTAATTACCATCATATTGTTCAACACAATACGTCTACTTTTTTAATGTAAGAAGGCAACACAAAATCACTATTCCAATGAATGCAGACTACCATCTCACGAATTATTCTATGAGAGATCCACGTTGTAAAATGTGTATTCATTCAAATTTTGTATACACTAATGTATATTTTTACATGAGCAGTAAAACAACTGGATGTTGAAGTAGATTCTGCAGCTGGTTTTATATTCCACTCTCAAATCCCATCATGATACAGATCGTGGTTTGTGTACGCGATTCCTATGAAAGATGAGGTCGCCCTCAGTCGGCAGGCGTGGGAACTACGAAAAAAAAAACAACAACTAAATAACATACTAATTGAGTAAATCAGCTATGCAATAAAAATATCGTGATAAGTAGTGCTTTCTTATAACATATAATGGAACTACTGAATTTCTTGAAACCCAATGGTAAACTGTAGAATAACCGAAGGACTTCTACAACAAAGGGACAAACGTAGAACATGCATTTGTTTATTCCTTATATACCTACAAAACGAGAACGACTTTAACAGGGAAGGACCTGCTTGTGCACGCATTTGCGAAAATTTTAGTATAAATCCACAATTCCAGTGACTGTAAGTTCAAGTTTCGGACTCTCATACTTCAACCAACAGATGAACATGGTTTAATCGGCACATATACACTTTTTAGGGTGTTTCAAACGGAATGACAATTTTAAGCTGGAGAGACCTAAAATCCGAGACGTAAACGTATTTACTTACTATAACGTAAATTTGTTGATCTGGTAATCAATTGCCAATCGATCCATATCGAACTCATGGAGGCGAACATTAAATTAACACTCAACACAATGAACAATAATTTGATCAAATAACAATAAACAGTGCAAAAATATATGTATCAAAGGTTATCAGTTTTCAAACATGAATTTGATTTAAAAAATATTTATACCCAAAGTATAATATTTTCGTTTAATGTTGCTCAATAATATTTAGTTCTCTTTCGTGTGCGATTACCTTCAAGTCACATTTGCAAATGAACGTATTTGCCAAATCAAGAATCAGCTTTAATGAATGTTAATAAATCCTCTTTTATATTGAAATAAATGAATTTGTCTGTCGACATTATGATCACACTTTATAATGACAACTTAATTTCTCTTTTGTTGAAAATCGTATTAAATTATTCCTCCATATAATTCAAACAATGTGACTGGGTAAGGTATAGTAGTCAATCTACTTGCATGTTGCAGGATATAGCACTACTAAATATGTTTTATTCCGTAGCAACGAATACTAACTTTGAATATAGCCCATGACATAATTATACAAGGTAGTCTCATGCAGTCATTTTTTCCTACGCCTCTCTTATAACAAGGTTCGCCGATTGGCGCACATATTTTATTTTATGTGTGGAAATATGTCCGATTATGTTAGCCTATATTGGAATCGGCCCCCTGGTGCTTGTCACAATCCTCGGCGGGGGTTCAATACGCCTATACGGTCAACACAATTTCCATGATTTAGTCTTTGGCCGGGGATTTATGATCCTTCAATTTTCTTTAAGAAGGCAAGATTTGAAGCCAATCCATAGAAAAAAAAATATTGTAATTCACAATATAACAACATCACAAGGAGCCATGGGCTGCACGTAGGAAACATAAAATAAATCGCGACCAGGTCGTAAACTTTATTTTTCACTGACCTAAAACCGCCAATAACCCAAGAATACACAAATTCATTAATTATTCCTCAAAATATTATCCTTGACAAAAGTAGTTAAATACCAAGCACCATTGTATTTAGTTAATGAATTTATTTTTTCCAGGTCGGTGAGAAAACTTCAAATATTAATTCCAAAATTAACTTCCCATCTTGAAAGGTCATTTCTTGTAAGAGTTGCTAGATCATATATATCATTGCCTATATATTTGAGACATTTTCATTTACTTTCTATGACATACAGACGTAAACCTTGTGCGTACTTTCATACAAGTCCTGTTATATTTTAGCATTCTATTTTCTCCTTGGGTACACAAAATTAATATATGTTTTAATACAGACTCTAATATAAGATTTTTTTTCGGATATTGCTGTTATATGTGGATCTTAAGATGGCAAACTCAAATTAAACAAAGTTGGTTTTATATCTCCATCGAAATTTGAATACCCTTCACCACACTGTGGTACAGGGTATTATGTATTTGTGCATATGTTTGTAACAGGCAAAAATAATCGAGATAGACCCATGGTTCCTTTTGAGAATATGAATAGAATCACTTTCTCAGCCGATTTATGCATGTCCGACCGTCCGTTCGTCTATCCATGTTAAATTGTAAACAAAGTACAGGTCGCATTTATAATCCGAATTGGATGAAATTTGGCACAGCTTATTTGTTTGGCTCAAGGACGAACCCTATTAAATTGGGAAAATCGGTTCAGATTTAGTTATAGCTCCCATATATATTTTTGTCCGATTTAAGGTAAATGGGGTACCAAAGTCCCTATATATCTTTCGATTTGCACGGAATTTGGTATAGCCTACTGAATTAGGTCTAAAAAATGTGTGCTAAGTTTCGTGAAAATCGGTTCAGATGTAGATATAACTTCCATATATAGTTTCGCCCGATTTTAGGTAAATGGTGCAACAAAGCCCCTCCTAATCTTTTGATTGGCATGAATTTTGGTATAGCGTACTAAATTAAATCTAGAATGATGTGTGCTAAGTTTCGTGTAAATCGGTTCAGATTTAGATATACCTACCATATATAGTTTCGTCCGATTTTAGGTAAATGGTGCACCAAAGTCTCTGAAAATCATTCGATTTGCATGAATTTTGGCATAGCGCATTGAATTAAGTCTAGAATGATATGTACACCTCCTATATATATTTTCGTCCGATTTTAAGTAAATTGTGCACTAAAGATCCACAGCTAAGCAGATTGACACAACGTACTGAAATTAATATAAATTAATTTTTGGCAAGTTTGCTTCAAATCGGTTCAGATATAGATATATCGTAGCTTCCATATATAATTTCGACTTATTTATGTTAATTGTACACCAAATAATCAAAAGGTGTCTGATTGTGTCTGATGTGACGAAAAACATTATGTCAATGTTTTTTATACAAATTACTATTTGCTTTACGGAATGCAAATAAAATCGCGCAAATCAATATTTCAACTGATACACAAAAAAATATTCATAAAATATCGTAGGACCTTCAAAATGCCGCAAATGGAGGGTCATCCTTAAATGGGGGCAATTACAAAAACATGGACCCATATTAATTATTGCATTCAGTTAACCAAAATTAAATAAATGGAAATTTCTAGAAGGCCATTTTATTTATTTATATATGTATATTTATATAATGTTTTGCCTGGAATATATTAGGTTGGGGAAAAAGAAATCCATTATTTTATATGAAATATAGGACTTTCTCTCTCATAGAATTCCTGCTCTCTATTTGCTTAAAACTCTAGTAGTCGATTTTCACAATCCTCCCTAGATACCAATTTTTTATCATTAAAGAAATGTTGCAATGCAAGAGAAATATGATAATCGCTTAGTGCCAAGTCCGGACTTTATGGCGGATGCATTTAAACTTCCCAACCACGCTCATGAAGTTTCTGGAGAGTCACTGTAGATGTGTGTGGCCTAGCGTTGTCCTGGAGGAACACGACACCTCTCTTGTTGAAAAATTCTGGCCGTTTCTGATCAATTGTAAATGGTTTAAAACAGTTTTACTGTCGATTTTTACTTCCTGTGCGATGTTACGACTGCTAACATGCCGGTCAACTTCGATCATTACTCCGATTTTATCAACATTTTCAACATCAAAAATACCTGGTACCGAATTTTTGCAGTGAACTCTCTGTGAACTCTCTTTGAGCACTTATTTGTCATATATGTAATGGAATTGATAATTTACATTAACATGATTTAAAAAATCCTGCACAATGTACTATTACGCCGACAATATAAAAAAGAAAATGGTAGTTTACATCACTCGAAGTTCCCCTATATGGTTTTAAATATTTTCCTTTACAAGTTTTATGACTTTTTAGGGCGACGGATCATTTATGTAAATGTTTTTATTAATTTCTCTTTCGAGATGAGCTACATGATCGAAGCAATGAAAAGGTAAACCAGAGAGATACTACATTCTTACATGTAGTATCTCTATGGTTTTCCTTTGGAAAATAATAGTGAGTTTGAAATATAAAACTAATGCAAATTTTTTATATACAAATTTTGTAATTAATTGTATATTCCGTATCTGTTCCTGAAATGAAGCTCAACCATTCAGGCTCATCAAAGAATAATTTTTATATGAATCGTTTGTGAGCATTACAGGATAATTTACCTGAATAATGCTGTATCGTGATTCAAAATTGATTTTACATATATTTAACTCACCGGCATCAGCAAAAACGTTGTATATATTAATTACATCGGGTTGATTAGTTGACCATGTTATATGCATATTAGACAAGGTGCCCAAGACCATGGGAGATAAATCAGGAGTTCCTTGATATAGAAAATGTAAATATATACACAATTTTATTTCAAAAATGATTTAAATTGTAAATTTACCCCATATATAAGCTGGCATAACGGCTCCACTGCGGATACGCACCAAAGGTGTTTTTATTTGAATATTAACCAATGGTACTACGTGTATATCAACAGTATCCTCGGAAACTACAACCTCTTTGCCATTTATGGGATTTGTCATTATACATTTTCCGGTAATTTTAGTAGCGCCCAATTTGAAGGCAGTTACAATAGCCGATTCCATACCTTAAAAAATAGAATGATTTTTAGTACAGAAGCGTAAACTAGAGCAATAATGTGTACGTACTTATAACTTTTTGATCGTGGACGTGGTAAACAATATTTACATCTGGTTGTGGGCCACCATGGTAGTAAATTTGTACGCTTGATCCTACAACCAACGTACTGTTACGTGGGTATAGACGTAAAGGAGGGAATACCTGGAAATATTTGATTGGTGTTGAATAAATCAATTACATTTTCATTAGGTGGAATACAAACTTACTTGAACATTTACAGGCTCGCTGGATACCAACATCTCACCACTACCAGAACTAAAAATTATTTTAGTCTCACCCAAATTATTGCCTGTTATTATGTACCTGAAAAGCCAACCAATATATTTTACATTCAAACAAAAATATATACGTATTTTTATTATCCAAACATATTTAAAAATATATGTGCAAAAAATAATGATAACATTTAGTATACCTTATTTCGCCAATACCCAAATCCACTTGATCACCCAATTGAATGCTCAATATATTCGCATTGAAAACTTCTTCTGACAATTCATAGATTTGCAAATTGAATGGATCAATGTGTAGCAAGTTATCGTGAGAGTCATACAGTTTAACAATTGCTTCAATCGACTTTGTACGTTCTACTCTATCAGGCACTTCTACACGTATAGCCCCAATGCTTACTACCGAAATAGACAAATGTGCAGGTTCATTCATCAAGCAGCGATCAATCAATTCAAGACGAGTCTGAAGAATATTTACATATTAATACATCGTAAGTAATTTATATCAAAATATAACTTACATGTCCAATCCGGAGGGGAGACACAATCAGTTCTTTTTCTTTGTTGTCAAATTCAACTTTAACTATTCCCGATTCTGAAAGTTGGAAATCATAGAAACCACTACCTTGAGACATTGGGATGCGTTCACGACGACCCTTCGCCAAGAAAATGCTGATGTGGTCCGAAGGGAAGAAGGTACTGTTGACAGTCATAAACCGAATTTCATTCTCAATGATGGGCGTATAAATATCTCCAGTCTTGGGCTATAAATGCAAAATTAATTTATCAGTTGGTTGCCAATAAACATACAAGAAGAAGACTTACATTTTTGATGCCAAATGGTGGCTCTTCAGGGTATATATTTTGTTTTCTCAACACCAAGTCATCATACTTCGTCACTACACCCTTGATGCGGAAATTTTGTGCAACTTCTGTCAGCTGTGTTACCAGAATATCCTTACCGGGCAAACGAATACTTTCCAAGTATTCTTCTTCTGCTTCACGATGATGCATAATGGCTCCACTGTGATAACGCTGTTCTCCAGCCGCAAACTCCCAATCAATAAATAGTGATGTGATATTCATTAGTTTACGATTTTTAGCATCCTGAACCTCAATTTCGATTTCGAATTTGTCATCTTGATCCTTTAGCTGTAGCAAAGCATTTCTCATTTCCAATGGGCATGATGATCGCAACTGTTCCCTTGTGTATAAATTAAGGAACCGTGGTTTCACACAATAGATGTTGGTGGTAATTTTGGAGTGATACGGCTGGAAATTTGGTGTAAGCAATGCATTGAAAACATTGAATTCCAGAGTTGTCTCGCCAACCTGACGGCACAATATCGTGAAGGCATACAAGTTGTTTTGTGTATCAAATTCGATTTCAGAAACCCGAGCAATATTTTGGTCGTAATCTACACCTTGCGTCAATTCTGCTTCGAGTGTGTATATTTTCTGTGGACCATTTGTGTAGATAACATTACGCGACGACCCAATTGGCAAAACTACATGGTTCTCTAAAGGATTTAGAATTGCTAACGGTTCGAAAACACTTAGGGTTACTTCATCTTTCAACGTTTTTTCTCGGAATTTATAAAACACCTTTAGATGAGTGAGTCCAATTGCAGTACTGCGCAAGTGCACAACTTGACAAGCCTCTGGAGATAATACAGTATTGTAAGCTGAGGCAGCATTATAATCAACTTGGAATATCTGGTTAGAAAATTCAAAATCGAAGACCAGGTTTTCACACTTTGTCAGCGGCATAAGCGTGTTGTTGACGTAGGCATAGACAGCTACGTGAAGTTGAACGTAATCATTTAGAGATGTTTCAAAGTTATATTTGACAATTTCTAGCTTTACAGGTGGCACAAAGTAAACATCCGCTAATCGTGAAATTTTTGGATTTTTTGCTAGTGCAACTTTTACGTGGGCATGGGCAGTCAACAGTGTTCCGGTGGCACCATCGTATGTATCATAACCGCTCTTGACATTCGAATCCCGTATTACTGTAGTGGCTAGACCATTTTGATTTATATGCAAGAAACGTGGCTGATGTGACATCCAAACGTAAGAACCGTCACCGCCTCTGGCTTGGAATTGAATTCTTTGGGTTTTGATGATATTTGGGTCATATGGCAAAATTACTTTAGCAGGCAACAATATTAATTCGCTGTAAATTTGTAATTCAGCTTGTGCCGTCAACTGTGGAAAAGAGATTGAGGTAATTTTTGAATGCAAATTGTTTAAAATATACGTACATCTTTGAAAGATCCGTATACTGGGGTAATACCCTCCCTAATGGCTTCACCATACAAACGTGAACCGTTCTTACTACGCTTCTGAATAAAAAACAACGATTCGTCCAATTCCGAATTCACAGAATAACGGGAACCCAATGTAATTTTATGGTCATCGCTTGAAAGAAAAAAATGAAATTTAATGGATAAATATTTATATTCACAGTTATTACATTTTTATGATATTTTCTATATTTTATGAGGAACTGAATCTAAAAGCTCGTTTCATATTTCTCGAGATATGGAACATTTCATTTTCACATTGACGTTAAAAGGGTTTTGTTGATTTTGTTGATTTTTTTTTTTTTTTTTTTTTTTTTTTTGTAAGTGATTGGGCTTCACAATGAAACTCATATTATCTTAGTTGGTTTTAAAACCCACTAACAAAATATAAAGATATCTGTAGTAAAGGGTAAGTGTTCCTAATGTCGGCATGTACCAGTAGTCGCCATCTATTGTATCTAAGCTCATTCACCTCTAGCGACAGCTCATGTCTCTTAAGAAAAATATTGGTGGATATGTCGTTTTTAAAAGACTAATTAAATATTTTCCACCTAGGTTTTTTTCATTATTGTAAAAACCGTATACAAGATAATACGACAATTTAAAATTATTATAAAATATTGGTAATTTTAAAGGCGGCATCAGTAATAAAAAAAATAGTTTTGCGTGTTTTTAATATGGGAAAGATGTTAATGAGATTTATAAACAAATATAATAGAAAATATCAGTCAAATATAAAATTTAAATTACAATACGACATGTCGTATTGCAACATCACATGCCGACTACTAGAACATCATATATCGACAATTGGTACCTTTTATTAAACCTTTTTTTTTCAAAATAGTCAGGCTTCCTCCGACTTCCACTTAAAAAAAAAGGTTGTACTTGGGACTACAAGGCTACTTTCAAAAATTTCAAAGTGATTAGCAGCCGAGCCTTTTAGAATTGAATTGAATTTTTCCTTTTACCAAATAATATTAACTTACTGTGTAAATAAATCTACGGCGATTTCATGTTTCTCCCCTTCAACGGTTATCCAATTATTATGCGGCAAAAGACTCAGACCTAATTTCTTGGGATGGGCAACTGTAAGACGAGCGCTTGGCACAGCATTTTTCATAGCCTCGCTATCACCCGCTATACTACCATCATTGGGCACGTTGCGATCTCGCAATACGACCATAGTAGTGCCAGCTTTAAGACCAGTTGCTGAAACACCTTTCATACTGGCTATATTATTGTCTTCAATTTCCAAAAAATACTGATTATTTAGAGAAATCTCCTGCAATTTGCCTGCTTTCAACTGCAGGATACGGAAGTTGACCGTATCCCCTGGTAGAACATAAACATCTGATGGTTCCAAAATGATATTAGCCAGAACATTAATGTATACTACAATTGGCTGAACATAACCATACTCCGGATAGGGCAGATTTACGGTAACCTGAAATACATACAGACCACAATATTATAATTTACTTCACATATACGATAAATTAATTGTTATCACCTTTGCTGTTCCGGTATTAATGCCTTCTAACAACACCATATACCCCTTTAGACCTTGTGCTTCAAATTTCTCTAGTGCTTTAGGTACTTCATGGTACGGACTTTCAGTAAATGTTAAAAACCTTAAAGCAGATGACCAGTCTTTACTGTCCTTATTCAACGAGGATATAACCCAATTGAATTCAACGCCTTCTAACGTGGTAAATACATTGCCCTGCGTATCTTCTGCGTGTAGAACGAATGTTTCGGGGGCTTCTTCTAGATATAACTGGCGTGTTGTTGTCTCAACGCCAAGTCTATCAATCACATCCAAAATAACATCGCATCGCAGAGAATCGCCAGTGGCTACATTTTCAGCCAGAACGATTGCAGTGTTTCGTCGGCGTTCCCTCGTTAGGACGGTAACTGTTGCTTCATAGGAACACTCTGTTTCATCAGCATCTTCATAAAGTGGCGTAATCAATATCAAATCCTGTCTTGAAGAAGTCCTGAAAACAAAATATCGTATAGGCTATTAGATTTAAATTTTAAGGTTAAGTCGACGCTTGGGGCGCCAAATGTATATTCTTATGTTATTGGTGGTGGTGATGGTGTCTGATCGAGGTACCATCGCAACAACACAACACGAGTCTCGTATCTGTCGCAAAGGTTAGAGGCACAAGCCAAGGCCACTTACCATTTGTAGCATCCTTTCTCACTAACTTGCAATGTAAAATTGATGGAGATTTTATCAAAGATGGGCAGCAGAACACGAGGAAAGTTTAATTTGGTAGCCTCAGTCACTTTTTCTCCACACAGAAATAGTAAAATTAACAACTTAAAAATCGCTAATTTGTCCATGGTACGCGCGTTTGTTGCTTCCTCCTCATGCAGACATAGACTTTTGACGTTTTGCACGGCACGTTCAAACTGAAAGATACAAAGACCGGCAGCGTTGCTTCAAGAAGTAGTAAAACAATGGCATCCCATCACACATTGCCAGATGAAAATCACAACATAATTCGCACAGTTTTGTTCGAAACCTAAGCAACTTTTTCTTAGTAAGTAATCATGGTCTTTATTATTATGAAAAGTACTTATTTTTTTAACTATTACATTACACAGTCGACACTATACGTTCGACTCCGTTTTACTGAAGCGGAAAAAATTGGATTTTTGAACTGAAAATAATTTCAGTTATCCGAACTCATCATAAGCGAAACATTTTTTACATTTACGAATTTCAATAATCTCTATATCATAGCGAATATGTATGTTTCGATTTTTTAAGAAAATAGACGATAGAAATTAAAAATGTTTAACATTTTCACTGCTTATGGAAATTTTACTATGAACCGTAAAACTTATGAACTTGTAACGAAATCCATCGTCTGCCTGTTGCAATCGTAAGACCTATCTTAAATACAACGTTTGATTTTAAGAACCTAAAATATCGGCCGATTTTAAGTCTTTTTAACAGCTGGCTAAGCTGTAATACCCAATATGAGGTTGTAAATGAGTATAATACTTCCTTGCAAAACTTGTCACCAGACCTCAATCCCATTGAGAACCTTTTCAGCATTTTAAAACAAAGGATTGGAACACGTCGCTTTAAAAACAGACAGGAACTAATGAACTGCTAAAAATCAAAGTGGGAAGCTATACTAACAACAATTCTAACAAATCTTGTATAGTCAATGCCAAAAAGATGTGCGGCAGTGATAAAAAATAAAGGGTATCATACGAAATATAGAAAGTTGCTTAGGTTTCGAACAGCTGCTTTGTGAGTTAATATTTGGTCTGTTCCCGTACTGCAAGAATCTACTAGATTTTACTATTTTCTTCGATATCATAAAGGAAAAAAGTGTTATCGTAGTAAAAAATAGTAGATTCTTGTAGTACGGGAACAGACCAATTGTTTTCATTTCTTTATTTTTTTCCAAAAAAAATATAATTTAAATTTGTTATTATTTTCAGATTATAGACACATAGTATAATAGAAAATAAAATTTATATTTTTTATAAATCAATTTAACGATATCATATAAGACCATGACTACGTACTAAGAAAAAGTTGCTTAGGTTTCGAACAATACTGTATATGAATTAACCCGTTCTTACAACACTATTCTTAAAGGGCTAAGCAGAATGTTCGCGTTGAGCGTTTTTTTATCACGTTAACGCACGCAGAAAGTTAAAATATATTACCCTCCGAAGCGCAGCGCACATGAACTTCGAGCGTTTGTGTTATCGTTTCCTAGTGGTTGTTATATTTTCGGTAACACATAAAGCGACGGGTGGCTCAATGCGAGCATTCTGCTTAGCCCTTAATTCATGTCATTAGAGTTTTTTTTATTTTAAACTTTTTGTTTCTTTTTTAAACCAAAATTGTAACATATTTACGAGAATCACATATGGATCTAAATAGAAAAAATTATTCTCTTTCTCCTGACTATAGTAAGAACCCACATCTATTTAATTTTAATTCATGTTTTCCATTTTTTGTGAAAATATTGTTGTTTTAAATATATTTTCTCTACTCTAAATGTCACATATAAATTTGGAGAATTTTTGTTTGGGTTTCCCCATATTTGTTTAACGTTTTGTACGCTAATTAGAACCAAAGGGAAATAAATGCATATTGCATTATGTAGATTACAAAATTTACATCCTTCTACATATATTTTGACAACATTCAGCTTTCAAAAGTTTAATGAAAATATCCTCCTTCGAAATGTACGCACAACTTGTGTTCAGTGGCAATAATTACAAGATGTTTATTGTCTTGAAGTTTGCAGACTCTATAATCTATAAATATATTTTGTAACATATATAGCATGGTATAATAATAAAAGGTAACAGCAAGTCCCAGATGATTTGATTCCAAAGTAATACTAGTGTCAAAGTCAATGTTTGACATTTTGTCATTGTATGGTTTCTTGTCAATAGTTGTGATGAAATATTTCAAAAAATATGTGCATACATAAAATTAAAAAATAACATTGAATTTATGATATGACTCTAATTTCGGATTCCGAGGTCTTGGAGGCGAGCAAATCTTTGCATGCAAATCTCTATATAGGTCTACGCTTTGGCATTGCCCCATAGTGAATGAAATATAATCAAACAAACGTCCAGTTGTATTTATGGTATGTTGAAGTTCTATATATGCATATGATAATAAAGATGAGTAAAATCATGGAACAATAATACAAGGTAGGGCAGCTTGAGGTGAATTACAAAACAGCAACTATGCACGTGTGCCTTATTCTGCCAAAAATAAAATAAATATACGCAACAAGTGTTTGTGTATATTTGACATTTTTTCAACACAAAACTAAAAACGCGAAAAATGAATGAAAGGTTATGATTTCTTTCAAAAATTCAGTAGGGAATTTTTGTTTCATCCATAACAAATAAATTACTTCCAGACGAACATGTTAAAAACATAATTTTCATTTCAATTAAATTTGAATATATTTCAATTTATTTTGAATTTATTTGACATTGTATTCAACACAATACACACACATACACAAAATATGTATTTTGATTTGATGGAACAAGCCACCTTGAGAAAAAATTGAAATCAGTTGGTAGCTGTGCCCTACCTTGTAATAATTATACCATGAGTAAAATGTTTTTCTCTATTAGATTTCTGGTGAGAAATGAGAGTCAACAAAAACATGTGTACAAGAATAGAAGGACAATTCGTCGAACAGTTTGTGCTTATTTATACATTTAACAATAACTTAATTGTTTTTAATGTGACCATTTCAAATCTTTTTATAGCATCCAAGCAAATAAACTTTTAATGCCAGAACCTGGTATATAAAAATACATAGATGTTAGATGTTAGAAAATCTCTCCACTAAAAGTTATAAATATAGGACCATTTTATAAATATAGGACCCCCATATAAGGGTGCCACCCAATTTTCTGTATTTTGGGGTTCTTGAACGAGTTTTTCAACCAAATTCTTTGTAATTTGGTTTTTGTAGTCGTATATGGTAACAAATGGTTAAAATGGTTATCGGATTTGTTCCGCGTTTTGGGTTGCGTTGTAAGACTTTGTTGTAATCATTATACCTGCGGAGGATATCGAGAAAAAAAAAATTTGAACGTGAACCGATAATAAACTATATTCCGTTTAGTTCGGTAGATAAAACACGTCGCAAGTTAAGAGAAAGCTTAACACGGCGCCATTTTGTAATTTTTTAGGCGTGATTAACTCTTTAAAATGTGTCGCTCTTGGGAGTCGTCCGAAGACGAACTGAAAAATTTAATTTATAATAGTACGTTTACATATGTCAAATAAATCCTCATAATGTAGGTTAACTCGGTAAAAAGTTCCAATGTATATGCCGTTTTCCGTTAGAGGCTGTTGTTGTGTCGTAAATATCTTTAAAAAAATTTTACCGACTCGTGTCACCCTGTAATTTCGATAATAATGCTGTTATCGAAAGTTAGCTAACTTCACACAGAGACTGTTTTGCACAGAGACTGTTGGTCCTCGTCTCGCTTGCTTTCACCCTTTTCGTAAACACGCGAATCGTCTTTGTCTCGTTCGTTTTCAGCTCGTTTACAGCGTTGTATTTTGATACATTTATTTTTACGAACGCAACAGCAGTGCAGGAAGGAGCTGCGAAAACAGTTCTAAGTTTTGGAAATGTCGAACAGTGAATCGGAGAACTCAGACAATGGGAAGAAATCACCAAAATCCAGAAAAGTGCGTCCGAAGAATATGGACGATGTTAGAGAAATGTCCAAAGAAGACTTGTATGAATACATCGAAAACCTGCACGCTCTTTTGAAGCAACACGACAAGAAACTTAAAAAATACAAGGAGAAGATCCGTAAATTGGTAGGTTTGTACTATTTGATACGTCGATGATGCATATGGGTTTCATTTTGTTAACGTTACAATTATTTCAGGAACATAAAATCGACCATATTAAAGATAATGTAGAGAGCAATAAATCGTCGGAAACCCTTGGTAAAGAATCGACTGCCAAAACAGTGGAGATAACGAAAACAAAGGAAACAGATGAGAGTAAGTTCTGTCTTTATTTCTTATCCGTGATCATAAATTTAAAATACAAATTCGTAAAAGGAATTCAGTTTCCTCGACTCGCCACAGCAGCCACCAGCGCAGCTCCTCTTCCAGATCCATCCTCAGAAAGCATTATATCAAAATCTACATTAGTATTGACCATTTTTTTCATGGCTGCACGCATATATGCATCGAATTTAGGATGAAAACGATAAACGGACCCGTCAACTCCAACAACAACTTTGGGTTCGTTGATTTTGTTAATCAGTCCACTTATTCCAACTGCTACTAAATTGGCAGCTCTCTGCGATACACACTCACAGATGTAACGTAACTTTTGGCAATCTTCCACAGAAGGTCTGTCAATTCCAAATAATTGTTTAATAATTCCTCGGGTATTTCTAAATTCTGGAAAGGCATCAGCTTCAATTTCCGATATCATGCTTGTTTCGAAACATTCACATTCATTGGATAACTTTGTTATAAAAGCTGCTTTGTTCTGAGATAGAACAAATATTAGATTCTTTTTCAGGGCATCCAATAGAACTAAGCGCACAAGATCTCCCAAGTACATTCCTAAAATAAAAACAAAATGTGGATTACATAGAGTTGGAAAATATTGGAGTTTAAAAATGTGATGAACATTTTTTCTGTACGTTTATTAAATGCTAAAGACAGATTAAGAAATATTTTTTTTATAACTTCTATTAATTAAAAACATCGTATTCGGGGATAATTTGGGCATCAAACTATATTATCTCACCTTAATATTAAATCGAATTTGGAACAGAAGCAGAGAGATAATTATTAATTTGAAATAATTATTTGATTGTGTGGGAGGATTGGAACAATATTGTCTATAGATTCTGCTTCTAGTTTGGAACAGCTCGAGGTAAACAAACATTATGACGTTCAAAGTTTGTATCAAATCGTGTAAGACATTCGCTTTAAATAAGATGTATTGATTTTTTAGAACGCTGAGGTGTGGATCAAATCCTCAAAGTTTGAACCAAATCGAAATTAATCGTGTGAACCAGGCAGGAGACGGACATGAATAAATCGAATTCAAATTATATCGACGCCTCCGAACCATAGTATGCTAAGTCGATGTTTTAAAGTTCTTTACGTTTTTAGATACTACGGTCCTTAATTTCAATTCTCTGAAATTTTGGTAATCATCGGCCAATCCAAACCAAAATTATAAGCAAAAATGTAAGATATATGAAACTTCCATACTTTGAGAGCTTCTACTGAAAAACTCACTTTTCAGACTTAGCATACTATTCTTCGGAGGCGTCGATATTACAATTCACGGGTAATGTGGACTACCAGGTCCAACATTATATGTCTAAAAAATGTTATTGCATTATATTTAAAGTTGCGAATAAAAATAACTTGGCGGGCAATATGGACGAGTATGTGCGGGTAATGTGGACCAGTAAGATAAAAGGCAGGTTGTGGATTGGTTTAAATACATTTCAATTTATTGCAATCTTGGGCGCCAACGAATGCAAAAATGTATGGGTTAATGTTTTGGAATAGCCGCATTTAAAGGCACTGCCCCATTTTCGGTATTTTGAAGGTCCTAGCTTCATTATCCCACCGAAGTAGCTGTAATTTGGCATATCGAGTTTTCAGAGGATATAATACCGCCTCGTAAAAATGGCCCATGTCTCGAATTAGTCTCCATGAAAATTCCCCGTTTCAATTCAATTTCAAGGTGACATTGTCATATTTCAAGAATTTTTTAAGATATGGGTGTGGTCCATATTAGTTCACTTTACCCGAAATTACTCTACTATCAACAACGAATTCGCGGACGCAAAAAAAATTAAAGGAGTTTTAAAAATACACAGACATTTTTTCTAAAATTTATTTTTATATAATCAGATATGTATGAAAAGATAAAACGTAAAAAATCACACCTTTTTACATCCATATAAAAATGAATGTAAGTAAAGTTATGAGTTTTTCAATATAGAGAAGGGGGTAAATTTGTGTACAGTACTAATTTGTGTAGACATTCCAAATTATTTACATAGTTTCGTATTCAAATTGTATGAATTCTGCTATCAGAATTATTTTTTAATCTTGTTAAAATTAATATAGACAATATTTTAAAATGATTTTTCTGTCGAGTTTGCATTTGGTTTTCTTGATATTTGACTTTAATTTTTCCGAAAGACTGTATTGTAAATCCTGAATGCAAGGATGTAGCGATGCCAAATCTTGAGCATATCCTATTTAGGATAGTTGCATTAAATCTGTGAACAGAAAGTTGTTCTAAGATTGCTCGGGGCTCAAGGGGTTAATATAGGCAATCGAATTAATTCTAACCTGCTGGTGTAAGACGGGAACACAAAATCACTATTCCAATGTAAACATCTAAGTGCAAAAAGTAAGAATTGTTTCTGCACTGACTCGATATTGCATATTCAGGAACCCATATTCTAATATAGGTCTAACAAGAGACGTGTATAGTTGTTTTTTATATAAGGATCCGAGAATTCTTTGAGACACCGTTTTATAAAATCGAATACACCATAGTCTTTATTTACCATTGAAATAACATGATTGTTAAACTTTAACTTTGGATCCATTAAAATACCAAGATCCGCGAATGATTCTACTGTTGACAAAACCGAACCGTTAATGTTGTACTGCTGAAACTACACTTACATATCTGAGTACAATTAAAGAATAATAGATCTATGGTTTTGGTTGACCCTTTCCCTCAAAATGCCTATATGCCACCAGGGTCGTGCATGTTTTAAGAGGCCTGTCGAATTTGCATCTTTCAATCCCATAGAGTAGTTATAAGGGATTGGCGAAAATTATAAAAGGAAAAACTGACACATTAATTGGGTCAATGCCTAGTCAGTTTGATGCAATAATAAAAAAAGAATAATAATAGACAACAAAAAAATTTAATATGTGAACGACTTTTTATGGATAAATATTTAGATTTCTATCCTAAACTATAGTCTTCCCTGCCTTACCCCTCGACGGACAGTGACATACATTCCCACTTAATAAATAGTTGTTTTTTTTTATAAAAAAAAACCAAACTGGGATTCAGCCTGACTATTTTGCAAAAACAAAATACAAATGGTATCCCAAATAACCTGCCAAACTACTGAAATTTCTATTTTGGTCGAGAACTCAAAATTAAATGCGTTTTATTCATAATTGTCCCGCACCACATATTCCTCACAAGAATAAAATTCTATGTCAATTTAGCTATGTCCGTCTGTTGAAATCACGATAGAACTCACAATATTGAAGTTAGGGCGTTAAAATTTTTCACATACAGTATCGGCAAAACCTAAGCACCCCCTCTTTACATTTGTAAATCATAATTGTTTTTATAAAAACAAAATTATACAAATTGTTCCTATATTTCTTTTTAACCCTTTGTGGCCCGACTTTTTTCCGTAATCACAGATTTAATGCAACCATCTAAATAGGATATTAACAAAATTTGACGTCGCTACATCCCTGCATTTGGGAGATACAGTGCATTTTTTCTGAAAAAATAATAATCGACGGAAAAATCATTTTAAATTATTCTCTATATTCTTTTTTACAAGAATCAAAAATAATTCTGATGGCAGAATTCGTACAATTCGAATACGAAACGACTTAAATAATTTGGACTGTATACACAAATTAGTACTGTACATAATCAGTCTATAATCAGTTCTTGACATATGAAGTCTAAAGAATATATATCTACTAGCTGCATATTAAATATTAGTTCATAAAGAATTAATTATTACAAACATAGATATTCAGAATTAAAAACAACATTTTTGAAATTCGAACACACATTTTAAGTCGGAAGTGTATGCAGACAAAGCTAAAGCACCACGGAATTTAAAGTACAGAAAAAAACTATTAAAGGCAAAATTTCGTTGCGTATCTTTTATTCTGGAGGACGCTCGCAAATCTCTTAAACATAGAGGATATTAAATTATTAATTATTTAAGGCTATATTGCTTCCCTGACAATTTTTTCCGACTCCAAAAAAGTTTTCTTTATTATTGTATTTTTGATTTAATTATCTCCCAACAAGTTTTGGATTGGGTTCGTTGGCTTATTTAAAATTCAGTTGGGTGCACAATATTCGATTAATAGATCAATAATTTTTAGGTTAATTAACAAGTTTTTTCGCAAACCTCAAACATGTCGCGAAACATCGTACCCTGAAGAGTCCTTAATAAAAGGGACAATCTAAAATGGTTACACTGCATTCTATAGGAAAATTCTTAAACAAAAACAGTCTTGAATCGCCAAGGCCCATCTCAAAATGAGTGTCAAAAAATAATAATAATATTGTTTGTATTTTAATAAAATTGATTACTAATTATTAATCTATATAAAAACATATACATTATCTAATTCATAATAACGTATATCTCTTTTTTTATTGATTAGATTTGGTTATTTACCTCCTACGAAGTTTATTTGAAGACAATAAAATATGTTGAATGCAATTTGATAAGGTTTTTCAAATTCATAAAAAGTCACCTTGAAATATTCAGTGTGCTTTAATTATTTTTTTTTCATAATAAATTTTTAGACCCTTTAGCGAAGCACTTATCTATTTTTTTTTCTTGCGAAGCTAAATCCCGAGCTGAGTTTGGAGTACATATTTTTCCAAAACCTTATTAGAAATTAAATTATTGTCGAAATATTAATTGTTCAATTAATTGGTCTCTTTCCGTACTCAAAAGGTGGCGAAACTTTTCAATACAATCGACATAAAAAATTACTATATATCGCCTCTCCTTTAACCAATATGGATGATAATTGTGAATTTAATATTAAGTGCGAATGGAATAAAGCTTTGAAATACTAACCCGATATCATTTTCTCAAATAACTGTGTACCAGCATTTAATGACTTTTTGTCAATTTCATTATCATAATCGGTGCGTATAAAATCCAATAATCCACTGTCCCCAAATGCACCCCATTCCGTGTTGATTAGAACATATT